TGTTGAAAGCTTTCAATCCTCCCCTGCCATTCCAAGATCTCTTAAGGCAGTGGTGATCTGTGCATTTTTCCCCTGCTAAGTGGTTTTCATTCTGTCCTGTAGGTTGACAAATGAGAGTTTTTATTGGCTCCTCTAACTTAATGAACTCCTTTGTGGTAAAAGTAATTCAATAACGGATTGGGTTCCTAGTTTGTCATCAGCCTTTTGTTGGAAGAGAAGAGAGAGCGAGAGAAATGTGATTTGACTCGATGATTGCTTGATCTCATTATTTTAATTATGTTAAAAATCCTGGAGAAACATGGTTAGCAGCAGCGCCAGGTTTTGCAAGTATGGGAAAGACCATGGTTTCCCTTCCCTCAGCCTCTATATTTTAGAAACATCATAATTACAGGGTTGAATCTGGTTGGTGTCAGATACATGTAGAAGGTCTCTCAGGTTTATGCAGTAATCACTCCACATTTCTAGGTTAAACATTTGCAGATTTTTCATTGATGGATTGCTGTATTTGCTGCCACCTCCACTGCTGGTGTACATGTGAACAAAACAATATCTTCTCTTTGGGCTTTGTCACTCCTTCAGCATGGTTTTATGGACAACTTTTGCAATGATAGGGCTATAAATGCCTAGAGAAGTGCTGAGCTGGGTACTCACAGTTTTTCCACTTTTGTGGGAATTCTGTCTCCCAACCACCATGAATGTGGAAGCCTGTCTCCCAATCACCATAAACGTGGAAGAGTTCTTCAATGATTTGAAATTATATCTTCTGAGGCTTTATAAACTAAATTTAAAGTAACCTATAGTCTGATAGGGGAGCCCCCGGTGGTGCAGTGGGTTAAAGCACTGAGCTGCTGAGCTTGTTGATCGAAAGGTCGCAGGTTCGATTCCCGGAGCGGTGTGAGCTTCCGCTGTCAGCCCTAGCTTCTGCCAACCTAGCAGTTCGAAAACATGCAAATGTGAGTAGATCAATAGGTACCGCTCCGGCGGGAAGGTAACGGCGCTCCATGCAGTCATGCTGGCCACATGACCTTGGAGGTGTCTACGGACAACGCTGGCTCTTCGGCTTAGAAATGGAGATGAGCACCACACCCCAGAGTCAGACATGACTGGACCTAATGTCAGGAGACTACCTTTACCTTTACCTATAGTCTGATAGAAATGTTTACAACTACCTAAGGGACAGGTGCAAATTTATTTCTTGTCTCCCAACTTGTAGGCCCCACCAGCCTGGTTTAACACACCTCAAGTAACACAGCATCCCTTCCCATTACAACTTTAGTCACTTTTGGCCACATTTATTTTGTTACACAAAGTATTGTGTTATTGTTGTTGAAACTCCAAATATGATGTCATATGACAGGTTTATTACTTATAAACACAATATACAGGAACAATTCTTAATCATGGGTAAATGTCCATATTCATTTATATAAACATAATAGTCCCATCTGTCTGATGATTTAAAGAGTCACGTGTATGCCGTGGATGTAGCGTACCTGGATTTCAGTAAGGCCTTCGACAAGGTCCCCCATGACCTTCTGGCAAGGAAACTAGTCCAATGTGAGCTAGGCAAAACTACGGTGAGGTGGATCTGTAATTGGTTAAATGGACGAACCCAGAGGGTAATCACCAATGGTTCCTCTTCATCCTGGAAAGAAGTGACGAGCGGAGTGCCGCAGGGTTCCGTCCTGGGCCCGGTCCTGTTCAACATCTTTATTAATGACTTAGATGAAGGGCTAGAAGGCATGATCATCAAGTTTGCAGACGACACCAAATTGGGAGGGATAGCCAATAGTCCAGAGGACAGGAGCAGAATTCAAAATGATCTTGACAGATTAGAGAGATGGGCCAAAACTAACAAAATGAAGTTCAACAGTGACAAATGCAAGATACTCCACTTTGGCAGGAAAAACGAAATGCAAAGATACAGAATGGGGGAAATGCCTGGCTCGAGAGCAGTACGTGTGAAAAAGATCTTGGAGTCCTCGTGGACAACAAGTTAAACATGAGCCAACAATGTGATGTGGTGGCAAAAAAGCAAATGGGATTTTGGCCTGCATCAATAGGAGCATAGTGTCTAGATCTAGGGAAGTCATGCTACCCCATCTATTCTGCTTTGGTTAGACCACACCTGGAATATTGTGTCCAATTCTGGGCACCACAATTGAAGAGAGATGTTGACAAGCTGGAATGTGTCCAGAGGAGGGCGACTAAAATCATCAAGGGTCTGGAGAACAAGCCCTATGAGGAGCTTAAGGAGCTGGGCATGTTTAGCCTGAAGAAGAGAAGGCTGAGAGGAGATATGATAGCCATGTATAAATATGTGAGAGGAAGCCACAGGGAGGAGGGAGCAAGCTTGTTTTCTGCTTCCCTGGAGACTAGGACGCGGAACAATAGCTTCAAACTACAAGAAAGGAGATTCCATCTGAACATGAGGAAGAACTTCCTGACTGTGAGAGCCATTCAGCAGTGGAACTCTCTGCCCCGGAGTGTGGTGGAGGCTCCTTCTTTGGAAGCTTTTAAACAGAGGCTGGATGGCCATCTGTCAGGGGTGCTTTGAATGCAATATTCCTGCTTCTTGGCAGGGGTTGGACTGGATGGCCCATGAGGTCTCTTCCAACTCTTTGATTCTATGATTCTATGATTCTATGTGTAGATGTTTTCGAAGGACTATTTGTGGCATCCAAGGTTGTGTCAGAGAAGAGTTCTACACGGTAACCAGGTTACAACAAGGTATCCCAGGTGTAGTTCCTTGTTTCGGTGTTGATGAAAACACCTTCTTCAGGTAATGAATTCTTCTTAATATTTTAACTGGAAACAAGTCTCTTATATGACAATATTTGAAGTTTCAACAACAATAACATAATACTTTGTGTATCTTAGTAATAGATATTAGGCTTGGTTGATCAGGTTCGTTAGCTTCTAAAATCGGAATGAATTCGTATTTAAATGACTTATAAAACAATTTTGAGCCATGCTGGAATAGTGTGAGGAGTAATAACGAATTGAAAAATTTACCCATTTTTCGGAATTATTTTCGTATGTCTGGTCAAGGTTTACATTATCTCGCAGTTCCCCTGGCGACAAGCCGCGATGTGGAAGGGCGAGGTGGGCGTGGCCATGCCCAGCTCTTCCTGAAGGCCACGCCCCCAGTGGCCATCAAGAAGAGCTGGGTGTAGCCACACCCACCTCATTTCCCTGCCACCCATCGCCGTTTGCAGTCACCCACCCAGGGAAGGGAAACTGCGAGATTAGTTTTAAAATCTCGCAGTTTCCCTTCCCTGGGTGGGTGACTGCAAACGGCGATGGTTGGCAGGCAGGGGAATGAGGTGGGCATGGACTCCACCCTGTAGCCCCATTTCTTAAGGTTGGCTCTGCATCTCGTGGTGCCAGAGCGCAGTCTGTTCAGCGCCTTCCAAGTTGCCCAGTTTTCTGTGTGCCCAGGGGGGAGTCTCTCATTTGGTATCAGCCATTGGTTGAGGTTCTGGGTTTGAGCCTGCCACTTTTGGACTCTCGCTTGCTGAGGTGTTCCAACAAGTGTCTCTGTAGATCTTAGAAAACTATTTCTAGATTTAAGTCGTTGACGTGCTGGCTGATACCCAAACAGGGGATGAGCTGGAGATGTCTCTGCCTTGGTCCTTTCACTATTGGCTGCTACTTCCCGGCGGATGTCAGGTGGTGCAATACCGGCTAGACAGTGTAATTTCTCCAGTGGTGTAGGGCGCAGACACCCTGTGATAATGCGGCATGTCTCATTAAGAGCCACATCCACTGTTTTAGCGTGGTGAGATGTGTTCCACACTGGGCATGCATACTCAACAGCAGAGTAGCATAGCGCAAGGGCAGATGTCTTCACTGTGTCTGGTTGTGATCCCCAGGTTGTGCCAGTCAGCTTTCGTATGATATTGTTTCTAGCACCCAATTTTTGCTTGATGTTCAGGCAGTGCTTCTTGTAGGTCAGAGCACGGTCCAGAGTGACTCCCAGGTATTTGGGTGTGCTGCAATGCTCCAGTGGGATTCCTTCCCAGGTGATCCTCAGAGCTCGGGATGCTTGTCTGTTCTTAAGGTGAAAGGCACATGTCTGTGTTTTAGATGGATTAGGGATCAGCTGGTTTTCCCTGTAATAGGCAGTAAGAGCACCTAGAGCTTCGGAGAGCTTCTGTTCAACCATCTCAAAGCTCCCTGCTTGAGCAGTAATGGCACGATCATCAGCATAGATGAATCTCTCTGTCCCTTCTGGCAGTGGCTGGTCATTTGTGTAGATGTTGAACATGGATGGAGCAAGCACGCTTCCCTGAGGCAGGCCGTTCTTCTGTTTCCGCCATCTGCTTCTCTGGCCCTGGAACTCAACAAAGTTGAGTTTGTTTGGGGCTGGTGGGAAACCTTTAGAACTGTCTTTCTTGTGGCTGTGCTAAGATGGAATAATGTTGTATCCAAAGATTACCCTTTGTGAGCAAGCATCTGTTCAAAGAGCTTCCAGGTTCTGACATTACCAAACCATAGAGAAAAATACTGAAATACTGCATCATTTCTCTGTCCTTGCTCTAACACTTCTGTGCATATATTTCTCTATTTTCCCCTCTGATAAGAAATATGAGAGCCAAAGATGGGACAGAGGTATGTCACCAGACTTCGAGTTAATCTTGCTTTTCAGTCCTGAAGAGAGTTATCACTTCCAAAAGAAATAAACAAAACTTCCAACAGGAATTCTTCTATATCACTCATCTTTATTACAGCAAAATTCAATTTTAAGCAGAACAGGTATTCATCATAAATAAAACTCTCCTTTTTTATCTCTCTCACACACATGAATTTTAAAAATGCCTTTTTTTACAAAAAGTATTCTAGTTGTCCTATCCATTGCCACTAAATAAAATTCTGCTTTTTTGGGGGGAATAAACTGCTAACTCACTTTTCTCTTAATGGCACATTTACACCCAGGAATGCAGACCTGATTTGCTTGACTTCAGAGTAAATTGTTTAGAAGATAATTTCATAGTTTTCACAGTGATGTTCAAATATTGAAGTAAATGACAAAAAGCGATAGATTTTAAAAACTGTTGCCACCTCAATTCGAAGAGAAATAAGGATTGGTCCTGACAGGTCCTGCCGTGGTAGATGTGAACCTGAAAGGAAAACTAAGAGATTGAGCTGAAGCTTATTGAATAAGCTGGAAAATAATCCAAGAAGCAAATTTCATATTCCTCTAATTATCAAACCATTTCAAGAAACCGTGGACACATTTATGAGCTTGACCTACCATAGAATAGTTGTGAGAATGTGAGGAGAAAAAACCATGTACACTGCCTTGTGTTCATTGCACTCAAGGTGGGCAAGAAATCAAACAAACTATCAATAAATTCAGTGCAGTTGAATCAGTCTCTCAAGTTGTGCTTTCTAAAATACTTTATTATGGCTCTAGAAATCATTACCTAGATTTCTCTATCACAAAAATGCTTGGTTTTTGAAAATCATGTCAGACGTGACTTGAGAATATACTGCAAGTCACTTCTGGTGTGAGAGAATTGGCCATCTGCAAGGATGTTGCTCAGGGGACGCCCGGATGTGTTGCCATCCTGTGGGAGGCTTCTCTCATGTCTCTGCATGGGAAGTTTGGGCTGACAGATGGCAGCTCTCCCTATCTCACGGGTTTGAACCCCCGACCTTCAGGTCTTCAAGTCAGCAGTTCAGCCGGCACAAGGGTTTAACCCATGACACTTTTTAAAATACTGCCCAATCAAAATAGGGCTCCAAATGTTATTGATGCTAATAGTCATATCTTTTTGAATTGTTCAATTATATACTAGCATTATTTAGCATATATTATGTACAATTCTTAACACATTTCCATCTCTCTTATTCCATTGCATATCCTTTCATGGTTTTTTGTCTGTTCTCTAGAATATGGTATAAACCCAATTTTGTAGTCTGGTTGAAGGAAATTATTTTATTTATTTATTTATTATTTGACCTTATATGCCGCCACTCCCCTGGGGCTCGGAGCGGCTTACAAGAATAGCTAAAATCTAACAAAATTTAAAAGCAGTTTAAAACAATTTAAAAACAACAATATCAAACATTAAAAGCCTGTCGAAACAGGTATGTCTTACATGCCCTGCGGAAAGCTGGTAAGTCCCGCAAGGCACGGACTTCAGGTGGCAGAGTATTCCAGAGTGATGGTGCCACTGCTGTGAAGGCTCTGTGTCTGGTTGCTGTTAGACGCAAGGTCTTGACACTGGGAATTTCCAATAGATCTTGGTCCTCAGAACGGAGGGATCTCTGGGGTTGGTAGGGGGTGAGGAGGTCCCTCAGATACATCAGCCTCAGACCATGCAAGACCTTAAAGGTGAGTACCATCACTTTGAAAGTGATCCGGTGCTCAACTGGTAACCAATGCAGCTGCAGTAAGATTGGTGTTATGTGGCATCTCATCAGAATTCCCGCAAGAAGCCAAGCAGCTGCATTTTGTACCAACTTGAACTTCCGGATCACCAATAGAGGAAGGCCAATGTAGAGGGCGCTACAGTAGTTCAGTCTTGAGATGACTGTGGCCTGGATCACCGTAGCTAGGTCGTCCCTGGACAGGTAGGGGGCCAGCCGTCTAGCCTGCCGCAGATGAAAAAAGGCGGTTCTGCTAACAGCGGAGACCTGGGCCTCCATCGTCAGCAGAGGGTCCAAAAGGACTCCCAGACTCTTGACCAATGATGACAGGCGTAGCGCCTCACCATCCAGGGTAGGCAGCTGGATGTCCCCACTGCCCGGTCGACCCAGCCATAGGATCTCCGTCTTTGCTGGATTCACCCTCAACCTGCTGGCACACAGCCATCCAGTAACGACCTCAAGGCACTGATGGAAATAATTGGGTACAGAGTCCAGTCGGCCTTCCATCTTCAGCACCAGCTGAGTGTCATCGGCGTACTGATAACACTCAAGCCCAAAACCTCGAACCAGCTGAGCAAGTGGTCGCATATAGATGTTAAACAACAGAGGGGAGAGAATGCCCCACAAGATAGAGGGGACCTCTCAGAGACCAGGCCTCCCCTCTCCACTCGCTGTCCATGGTTGTGAAGAAAGGAGGACAGCGAGTTTAAAGCTGTCCCCCTGACTCCAGCAACAGCAAGGCGGTGGGTCAAAAGATTGTGGTCGACTGTGTCAAATGCTGCTGTGAGACCCAATAACACAAGCAGCGCTGACCCACCCTGGTCAAGCTGGCATCGAAGGTGATCTGTGATGGAGACCACCACAGTCTCTGTCCCGCGCCCCGCACGGAAGCCGGACTGGAAGGGATCTAGTCTGGCTGTGTCGTCTAGGAATTGCTGCAACTGCTCCGCTGCTGCCCTCTCAATCACCTTCCTGCCCTCTGCTGCCCTCTCAATCACTTTATGGGTAGTATCCTTACTAGGAATTTGCTAGGTCCTCCAGTGAGACTACAGTAATATACCATAGAATGACCTGGAGGACCTAGAAAATTCCTAGACAGGATAGATTTAGCAGATGCAAGCAGGTGAAGCCTCAGATACTGGTATACCTGAGGAAGTAGACCATGGGTATATCAATGCTGTCGAATCAGTGCAATTTGACAGAATAACTGCCATGGAGCAATGCTATGAAATCATGGGATGCATCATTTGGTGGAACGCCTGCACTCCTTGGCATGGGGGTTGTAGTTTTACAAAGCTAACCACCTTGCAAAATTAGAACACCCATGATTTCATAGCACTGTGCAATGGCAGGTAAAGTGGTTTCAAATGCCATTGATTCCACAGTGTAGATCTATGAAAGTTTATGCTACCAAAAACTTTTTCTCGCTCTCCAAGGTGCTAGAAGATCCCTTTGCATGTGGATATTTCAGACTAACATGGCTATCTCGTCATAGACATTAACCTCTATATCAATACTAGCCTGAACCTCTACTAAGTGCACTTACCCATAAGAAGGAGAAAATGGGTACTGGGGCCCATCACCTGCCATTGCTTGAGGATCCCGCACATTATTTGATGGCTTGGTTGGGTTCCTCTGCTGATAGGAGTAGCCAGGCTGAACCAGTGGGATGTAGCTAAGCACTGGTGTGTAAGGTGAGCGGAAGATTTGCTGAGGATTGTATGGCGTCACCTATGGGATGTGGAGGAGATGAGACATTAAAGGTGTTTTGAGGAAGGCTTTCAACTGGATGGGATGCACTAAAAGAACTCATTTCTTAGGAACACTTCAACATTCAAACCAAAGGCTTTTTCTGGTGAAAAGTCCCAGTTTCCAACTATGGTTATGTCAATACCTTTCAGAAGCTCACAAGTAGATGATGACCTTCTGGAAGGAGGAATTAAGTTGCAGCGAGAGAGAAATAGACAATTGGATAAAATCAATTAATAAAATAAAACACCTAAGGAAATGCAATGGAAAATATTTACACAGAACTGTGGTGCAGCTGGCTGGGAATCAGCTGCATTAAGATCACTACTGACCAAAAGGTCATGAGTGAAAAGCCAGCCCAGGTCAGAGCTTCCAATCAATTTGTGTAGCTTGCTGTTGACCTTTGCAACTCCAAAGACAGTTGCATCTGTCAAGTAGGAAATTTAGGTACCGCTTATGTGGGGAGGCTAATTTACAACACCATAAAGATCTCCAGCAAGCATGCTAAGAATGAGGATGTATCCGTGTCACAAATGGAAGGTGAAGCAACAGCTTCCCTGGTGGCCAGAATAGAATCATAGAATCATAGAGTTGGAAGAGATCTCATGGGCCATCCAGTCTAACCCCATTCTGCCAAGAAGCAAGAATATTGTATTCAAAGCACCCCTGACAGATGGCCATCTAGCCTCTGTTTAAAAGCTTCCAAAGAAGGAGCCTCCACCACACTCCGGGGCAGAGAGTTCCACTGCTGAACAGCTCTCACAGTCAGGAAGTTCTTCCTCATGTTCAGATGGAATCTCCTTTCTTGTAGTTTGACGCCATTGTTCCACATCCTAGTCTCCAGGAAAGCAGAATACAAGCTTGTTGATCTGGTCTGCGGATGACTAGGACATCTAGAAATGGAAGTTTTCCTTTATTTTTTTATTTCTTTATTGCAAGAAAGGTCCCTAAACACGTACAGGCGGCTCATGGAGGCTGGCCATTTTCTTGACAGTCAAGACACATTTTAATCCAAGTCAAGACAATGAGTCAAGACAGTCGAAGCACGCTTTCTGAGATGAGGCGATAAAAACTGTGAGTATTTGTGACATTGCTAATGAAGGTAATCTATTAACCACAATGAATAAACACAGAGACACTTTATTAGTTAGCCAAGGAGTGTCAATTGGACAAAATAATTATCTTGGCAAAATGCAGTTGCTCCCACCAGCTTCCTTAGTTATTAAACGAATCAATATTTGATAATTTTATCATCTCATTTCACCTTTCTTCATGTTTCAAGACTACAAATCCCATTACCTATAATGGAATAATGAAATCTGGAAGTTGCTGGAATCTGAACACATTTGGAGAGCCAGTACTTCCCTTCACTCTTTCAATCCATTTCCACTTCATCTGTTCACCTTTTTAACTGTTTTATAAATCCTTTTCTCTCCTCCCTTTCAACTCACTCCTATTCCCCCTTTTCGCAAAAAGGGGCATTTCTTAGAAACACAAAACCTCTTTATGACCTCTTTTTATGAAAGGACTGCATTCTTGAAGTCATGAATTGAAAGGACTCAAAAGTATGCCAAGGGGCATATCTTATCAATTCACCTTTCTCGAGCGAAGGAAGAGCTTCTCAACCAGAATTTACAATTTCTGGATATATTTGAACCATGTAGCTTCTCGCTTTTGGAATGCCTGCAACAAAAGGAGTTGAAGGCACAAGGAGAAGAGATACTATTTCTCCAGGAAGAAAGGTGCAACCTTCTACAAGCCTCCTAAACTAATTATTTGTTATTTATATAATTCAGATTGCTTGTTGTTTTGTTGTTGCTCATTCGTTCAGTCGTTTCTGACTCTTCGTGACTTCATGGACTAGTCCACGCCAGAGCTCCCTGTCGGTCGTCACCACCCTCAAGCTCCTTCAAGGTCAATCCAGTCACTTCAAGGATCCCATCCATCCATCTTGCCCTTGGTCGGCCCCCCTTCCTTTTTCCTTCCATTTTCCCCAGCATCATTGTCTTCTCTAAGCTTTCCTTTCTTCTCGTGATGTGGCCAAAGTGCTTCATCTTGGCTTCTACTATTCTTCCCTCCAATGAGCATTCAGGCTTTATTTCTTGAAGTATGGACTGGTTGGATCTTCTCGCAGTCCAAGGCACACTCAGAACTTTCCTCCAACACCACAGTTCAAAAGCATCTATCTTCCTTCGTTCAGGCTTCCCTAAGGTCCAGCTCTCACATCAGCAGGTGACTATGGGGAATACCATTGCTTACTATATTATATACTAGCTTGGGTACCCGGCGGTGCCCGGGTTATTTGAAAAAGGCATTGTTTGTTTTGGGATGTTAGGTAATATCATTTAGTTAAATAGTAACACTATTTATTAGGAAAAGGGCAGTCTTTGATTTCATTTTTATGAATGCTCCCATTAGAAAATACATAACGATGTGAGTGAATTATTGGTCAATCCACCCCAAACCAGGGCTGTATGCACAGTTTGCCATGTTGAGTGTGTGCACCAAGTTTGGTCCAGATCTGTCGTCAGATGGGTTCAGTGCTCTCTGGATAAAGGTGAACTACAACTCCCATAGGCAAATGGCAGTCACCCCCAAATCCTGACAGTATTTACAGTTAGCCATGTTGTGTTTGCGGGCCAAGTGTTGTCCAGATCTGTTGTCAGCTGGGTTGAGTGCTCTCGGGATGCAGGTGAACCACACCTCCCAAAATCAAGGTCATTTTCCTCAAACCCCTGCAGTGTGTTCAGTTGGTCAAGCAGCTTCTCTGTGCCAAGTTTGTTCCCGGTCCATTGTCAGATCTCTACACTCCATTCAGTTGCTGATCAATTCCTCTCTATTTGCTGTGTGCCATAGGAAAGGATAGGAAATTGTTAAGGGAGAGGCAGTGGGTGGGGTCATGCAAATTCCACACAAGGAACTCTGGGATGCCTGCATGTGGGGGAGGAAATACATCAAATCTGGGATGAAATTCTCCCCAAGTGAAAGCATTTCTTGGGTGGTGGGCCATAGTGTTTGGTGAGGACATTGGCAGAGTTTGGGCTACATGTTCATGGTGCTCACTATAACCTTCAATGTCAGTTGAGGGAGTGCCTTTGGAGGCTTCGGGACTTGGAACTATAACCTGTTTGTGAAGGTGGGAGGCTGTCTGTGTAAGTGGACACCTCTGCGACATACACATTTTTCACTTTTATTATGTGTATAGATAGATAGGTGTGTGTATTGGTATGTAGTTTTCCCTGTGGACAGGATCCTTGGAGAGGTGCGACCCACCACATGCATCCTAGACCCCTGCCCATCCTGGCTGATCAAGGAAGCCAGAGGGGGTTTGGCAGAGTGGGTGAAGGTGATGGTTAATGCCTCCTTACAGGAAGGAAAATTTCCAGCGAGCTTAAAACAAGCTATTATAAAACCGCTGTTGAAGAAACCATCACTGGATCCCACTCAATTCGACAACTATCGGCCTGTTTCCAATCTCCTCTTGGGCAAAGTCATGGAACGTGTGGTGGCAACACAACTCCAGGGGTTTCTGGTAGACACTGATTATCTGGATCCGGCACAGTCTGGCTTTAGGCCGGGACATGGAACTGAGACAGCCTTGGTCGCCTTGGTAGATGATCTTCGCAGGGAACTGGACAGGGGGAGTGTGTCCCTGTTAGTTCTGCTGGACCTCTCAGCGGCTTTCGATACCGTCGATCACGGTATCCTTCTGGGTCGCCTCATGGACATGGGGCTCGGGGGCACTGCTTTGCAGTGGCTCCGATCCTTCCTTGAGGGACGGACCCAGAAGGTGTTACTGGGTGACACCTGTTCGACCCCACAACCGTTGTTGTGTGGAGTCCCACAGGGTTCAATTCTGTCCCCGATGTTATTTAACATCTACATGAAGCCGTTGGGAGAGATCATTCGGAGTTTCGGAATGAGATGTTATCTCTACGCAGATGATGTCCAAATCTGTCACTCCTTCCACCTGTCACCAAGGAGGCTGTCCAGACCTTGAACCGGTGCTTGGCTGCTGTGTCGGACTGGATGAGAGCTAACAAATTGAAATTGAATCCAGACAAGACAGAGGTCCTACTGGTCAGTCGTAAGGCCGAACAGGGTATAGGGTTACAGCCTGTGTTAGACGGGGTTACACTCCCCCTGAAGACGCAGGTTCGCAGCTTGGGAGTGATCCTGGACTCATCGCTGAGCCTGGAACCCCAGGTCTCAGCGGTGGCCGGGAGAGCTTTCGCACAATTAAAACTTGTGCGCCAGCTGCGCCCGTACCTTGGGAAGTCAGATCTGGCCACGGTGGTCCACGCTCTTGTCACATCCAGGTTGGATTACTGCAACGCACTCTACGTGGGGTTGCCTTTGAAGACTGCTCGGAAACTACAACTAGTCCAGCGGGAAGCAGCCAGATTGCTCACCGGAGCGACGTACAGGGAGCACACCACCCCCCTGTTACATCAGCTCCACTGGCTGCCGATCCAATTCCGAGCACAATTCAAAGTGCTGGTTTTAACCTACAAAACCCTATACGGTTCTGGCCCAGTGTATTTGTCCGAACGGATCTCCCTCTACGTCCCACCTCAGAGTTTAAGATAATCTGGGGAGGCCCTGCTCTCGACCCCGCCTCTATCTCAAGTGAGGCTGGCGGGGACGAGGAGCAGGGCCTTCTCGGTGGTGGCCCCTCACCTATGGAACTCACTCCCCGGGGAGATCAGATCAGCGACCTCCCTTCTGTCGTTCAGAAAAAAGCTGAAGACCTGGATTTTGGACCAAGTTTTTGGACATTCTGGCAGCTAAAATAAGGACTCATTGATGAGCAGGAATTGTTGGAATGAATGGACATTTCGGAACTCTGAATCTCACTGTGCATGAAATTGTTTTTATTATATTATGTAGTGATGTGTTTTAATGCTGTTAAATGTTTATACTGTTTTATATATGCTGTATATTTTGACAGGCATCGAATTTGTGCCTTTGTTTGTAAGCCG